GGCCGTTTGACTCCAAGAACTGCTTAAGACGACGATTTACCATTCTTTCCATCACTTTTGCCGCGCAGCAAGTGAGCGCAATCGGCCTAAAGGAGGAGGCTTCTTCACTCGCCGGATTGTTCTTCGGAATGGGCACAACCAAGCTTTGTTTCCAGAGGTCCGAATACGAGTCAGTGAGACATAGATCGTTCAAGAGGGCGAGGAGCCTCGTTTTTCCGTCGAAGGAGAGGTTTTTTAACACCGGGTATTCAATCTCGTCCGGCCCGGCAGATTTACCACTACTGCTGCCGAGGGCAAATTGAAGCTCCCGGAATGTAAGAGCTTCGTTGATCTGGAGAGCAGGATCATCGGGTGGAATTCGAAAATCACGAATGCTGCTTGTGGAAGGTTTGACGCGCTGGACGAAATCGGTGTCTGCTTGATTACTTCCCACAAATCTACTTGCTAACGGCGATAGACCGCGAAAGAAGATCTGGGAAAGCACTTTGTAGGCCGCGTTGAGAATAGTGATCGCTCGGTAGTTCTCACCATGGACCCAAAGGCTAAGGACCTCCTTCACGCGATTTTTTTTTTGGTTCACCTAGCTGTTTTTTCTTAGGGTACCTGGTGCACCCGGTACTACAGCAAAAGACAGCAATTTGTACCAGAACAGGTGTCAAAAGTGACACAGACAGCACAACTGCCAGCAAAAGCGCCAGCAAAAAAAGCGCGGTACCCGCTGCCGTGGCAGTCAGATTGAGGTGTGTCATAAAGGGTGATACTGTCAAAATTTGGTCAATATCAACTTGACGTATTTCTTTAAATTTTGCATTTAAAAAACCTGAACACCCCTCATTTTGAAGGTGTGTGTGTGTAGAATGTTGCTCCTATTTTGATTTTGGAATTCACTCTTCAGTTGTCAAAATGCCGTCCAAGCAAGAAGAGCAGCGTATCAAAATTTTGCTCGCGCATCGCGAAAATCCGAGCTACTCGCACGCAAAGTTGGCAAAATCGCTAAAAGTTGCCAAATCAACCGTTACAAATGTAATTAAAGTGTTTGGGGAACGTTTGTCGACAGCCAGGAAGTCTGGATCGGGGGGAAATCGAAAACCGGAAGCCGCTGAGACGACAAAGAGAGTTGCCGGTAGTTTCAAGCGAAACCCTAACCTCTCTCTCCGAGATGCCGCAAATAAGCTGGGTGTATCGTCTACAACCGTGCATCGAGCCAAAAAACGAGCCGGACTATCGACTTACAAGAAGGTAGTGACTCCAAATCGCGATGATAAACAAAATACGACGGCCAAAGCGCGATCCCGGAGGCTGACGAAGTTTGACTGCGTGGTAATGGACGACGAAACCTACGTCAAAGCCGACTACAAGCAGCTTCCGGGACAGGAGTTTTATACGGCAAAAGGAAGGGGAAAGGTAGCAGATGTTTTCAAGCACATGAAACTGTCAAAGTTCGCAAATAAATATCTGGTTTGGCAAGCCATCTGTACCTGTGGCTTGAAAAGCAGCATTTTCATAGCTTCCGGGACTGTCAACCAAGAAATTTACGTGAAAGAGTGTTTGAATAAACGTCTGCTGCCTTTCCTGAAGAAACACGGTTGTTCCGTACTGTTTTGGCCGGATTTGGCATCTTGCCATTACGGTAAAAAGGCCATGGAGTGGTACGCCGCCAACAACGTGCAGGTGGTTCCCAAGGACAAGAACCCTCCCAACACGCCAGAGCTCCGCCCAATTGAGAAATACTGGGCTATTGTCAAGCGGAACCTAAAGAAGACCAAAAAAACTGCTAAGGGCGAGGAGCAGTTCAAGGCAAACTGGCTTTCTGCGGCGAAGAAGGTGGACAAGGTGGCTGTACAAAATCTGATGGCAGGGGTCAAGCGTAAGGCCCGGCAATTCGGATTTGGAAAAGCGGAAGCCTAACTGAATATTTTTCCTGAATTTTTTACTAATTGAACTTGAAAAAGAAATTTAATTTGATTTTTTAAATAAACGATTTCACCGATTTACACGCGTTTTCCCTTGACCAAATTTTGACCGTATCACCCTTTATCCCTTAGCACGTTTCTTTTTGTTTCGCCATTTTGAGATTTGAATTCGTGACGTTGGCGTAAGAGGCATGGATGCTAACAAAAAAAAAACCGGAACTAGTTAAAATAGTTAATTATCTAATCTAATAGTTCATTAGCTCCAGGGCCCTTGAACATCATATATTTGGATTGTCCCCAGGAGGATTGTCCGCAGGAGGATTGTTCGAAGAACGATTGTACCCAGGAAGATTGTTCGAATAAGGATTGTCCGCAGGAAGATTGTTCAAAGGAGGATTGTCCACAGGAAGTTTGCTCGGGAGAAGGTTGTTCGAAGGATTGTTCGGAGGAGGATTGTCCGCAGGAAGATTGTTCGGGAGAAGATTGTACGAAGGAGAATTGTCCGCAGGAAGATTGTTCCTAGGAGGATTGTTCGAAGGAGGATTATCAGCAGGATTGTCCGCAGGAATATTGTCCGCTACCGACGAGTCGAGGAGAAAGATTATCTGAAGGAAGAGGATTGTCCGCGGGAGGATTGTTCGAAAGAGGATTGTTCGAAGAAGGATTGTCCGCAGGAGAATTGTCCGCAGGAAGATTGTCGACAGGAAGATTATTTGGAGGAGGATTGTCCGCAGGAGGATTGTTCGAAGGAGGATTGTCCGCAGGAAGATAGTTCAGAAGAAGATTGTCCACAGGACGATTGTCCGCAGGAAGATAGTTTGGAAGAGGATTGTCCGTAGGTGGATTGTCCACAGGAAGATTGTTCGAAAGAGGGTTGTCCGCAGAAGGATTGTTCGAAAGAGGATTGTCCGCACGAAGATTATTTGGAGGAAGAGAATTGTCCGCAGCAGTTATTGGAAAGTTCATCAAAGTTCCCTATGACTCGCAAACTTTTCCCTTGGTGAACTTCGTGAAATATCGCGAACTTTTTCAACACTGGTCCGCAGGAAGATTGATAAGAGGAAGATTGTCCACTGGACGATTGTCCGCAGGAAGATAGTTCCAGGAAAGATCTTCAGAGACAATCAATGACGTTCAAGGAAAACGTTGGGGAACGACACTCATCCTGATGCATGTTGCTTCAAAAAAGATATGGCAACACTGTGACGGCATGCGAGCGGAATTGAAAGAATTTACGGAATAGACAGAAGGATCAACAGGGATATTCAGGATATACTGAAAAATAGACAAAAAATCGAATAAGGATGTCTGGAGAAAAAAAGTTCTGGCTGATGTTCTGGATATATAAGCAGAATTTTATGGATAAATTTGATGGGGATACAGGATGCATCCGAATGTATCGTTCCCCCTGGAACATATAAAGAGCTTCAGAGTTCCGGATAATCTTTTTCCTCCACGTACTCCTTGACTCGTCGGTAGCAGACAATTCTCCTTCAAACAATCCTCATGCGGACAATCCTCCTTTGAACAATCTTCCCGCGGACAATCATCTGACTGGCGGGATCTGGTCCATTCGGTCCTCGCTACACAAGGATCGTACCTGGGTCCACCTTGCATGATTTCTAGTTGGACCCCCAACAATTAAGTGATAAAACTGATTCCATTTTGATCAACATCAACAATGACATTAATCTTAGCTCTGAAGTTCAGGTTAGGAAAAAAGTTAGGTTAAAACAAAACGTCAGCTATTGTTGGTAAACAAACCGACAGCATTGTTGACAGCATTCCCCCATGCACTCAAAAATATAACTACCCACAAATATAAAAAACCTACTACTGCGTGCACTTCCATTCTATTACCGAGAACCATGATTTTTCGATAAATTCCTTCCACGCTATTGGTCCTGACCTTTGGGTCCATGGTTCTCACATTCTAGCTTGTCGCCTTTTTATATTTTGAGCATATGTATTACGTACCAAAGCTCCTCGTGATTACCATGTAGTAAGTCGATCGTGAGACCCAGCTCGAAGAGTCTCTTGCTACTGAACTTGCCGAGACAAACGAACAGTTACCAGTTTTAAATCGAAATTTTAAAATAACTAATGCAAAACATTACAAATCGATGCGCCCTTCGGCACCACCCCCGGCACCATTGTCATAACTCGTTGGCCTCAAACCTATCGTAAAACGGAACGTCTATCCAGCACTATTCTTTAGTTTGCCATTGTGGAGTGAAAAACATAAAAAAAAACACCTGCACAAATCTGAAAACTGAAACCAAACGCGAGCGCAGGCTCTCTCTCCGACCAACGACGGCAACGCTGAAATGGCAAACGGAACATCTTTTACAGGTGTTCACTTGACTGACGGTTGGCTCATCTGCTATTCACTGTTATAGTAGTTCGTTCCCAACCCTTCGCATTCCTCAAGGCAGTCGGGTTGGATGTTCCGAATGCTGTGAAATGAATTTTTAATGAAGGATCCTGCTTTTGCTCTCTTCTTCGGGAACAATCGCCAGCCAGCCAACCTGCCCAGCCTGGTTGCAATGGGAAGCCGCGAGTTGGAAAACAGAAGAATCGGAAAACTAATCGTTCCACAGCGAAGAAGAAGATGGAACAATGGTGGGGGAAAATTGAGTTCTTTCGAAGTTTTTCGTGACGTTTCTTTTTCTTTTCCATCGTCCAGAAGTAGAAGCGAGCAATTTATAAAACGACGAAAAGGGGTGCGATTTGTAAATTGTTAATAACGGTTGATATGCTTTTCACGGATCTTGGAAAATCGTTCTTTGCTTCCGGACCGCGGCAGTTGTGAAATCGGAAAGCGATCGGACCATAACCATTTCTAGTGTGAAATAATGAGCCATTCGTGGATGTAGGTTAGCCGTCCGAGGAGCTGTTAATTTGAAGTTGTGCTTGCGTTCGTTATTTGTATCGGTGAAATGGACTGGTGAATCATGAAAGGATGAGTCCTAATGGTCTTTTAGCTTGCAGTTTGGGAGTCATGCAGTTTTTATTTTAATTCAAATGACCCAGCGAATCGAAGTCTCAACAGTCAGTAAAGGGCTTGTGATAGAATTGAATCCGAGCTTTACGAGATTCGCCCAAGCTGTTCCGCTCAGCTGAGCGCAATAATTTATTATCACTTTGCTTTACTCCTTATCGCTGGAACATTTCCATGCTTGAAATTTCCCTATTTTAAATGTTTTATCAGCTGCTGCTGGTTCTGTCGTTAAAAAAAAGTTTTCTGTTTTGTTTTAATGTTTCCCCTTCCATCATCCCTCGCTCCAAGCCCGGCAGGGATAATTTTCCCGCGCTTCTTCTTTGTACAGTTGGCTTCCCATTCCCGGTCGCTTGTTGTAGACTAACCCGCATACGTTTGCACCAGTTTGTTCCACTCGGCGGGGAAATTCCTCTGTAGATGGGCCAAGGTTTTCTTAATCTGAGTCATCTCCGCCGGGCTACACTGGGGGCATGCTCCACGCAGCACGAACGGTGCCAAGCCTGTAAATGCGGAGAAAGGAAAAGCGTGAGATTATTTGGGAATTCGCATACCTAGTCCGAAAATGATTTCTCGACCCCATGAGGCAATAAATTTGCCAGAAAATCCATCCGTAAATCTCCTCCATTCTATTCAAAATCCAACCCCCTGACCGCAGGTAACAAATTTGTCACCCGTCGTCGTCGTTGGCGTCGTGTTGAAAAGCCAATACACCTGCCGCCGCCGCACTCGGCTTGAACGCTGTTGTCACCTCGCAAAATCCATGGCGGACACCACCATTGAAGGTACAATTTATGGGCGCATTAATTTGAAATCTATTTTCGCAGCGTGTTTCGCACCCCTGGCCCTCCTGCTGTCTGCAAGCGCGATCGAGCGACACACCACTGCTGGTTGCTGCCATTCAGAGCTGCTAGCTGTCATCGTGCCATTATAGGAGATGGCCCTGGTAGCATAGTAGGTATATCAATCGATCGGTCATAGCATGCCAATGTGCACACTTCTGCCAATTATAGGAATGCCTCGATTTTGCGAACATTTTCTGGAATTGTATGAAATGTACGCATAATTGAACTGTGCGTAGAATCAAAGCCTGTAAATGGCCAACGCACTAAAAAATATCGGACGTACATTGAATTGAAATTAACTAATAGAGTTCGTGGTAAAACTAGATGTTGCAAATTCACTCAAATTCAAACTAATGCAACGAATTGTGCATTACCAAATTCTACAATCCCTTCCTTTTGTTTTCTTTTAACTTTCCTCTGTCGTTGATTCCAGGGGGCGGGACACCTTGGCTGAGTATATTTTTTTGACCTAGACTTGACGTAGAACAAACATTTATCTCTAACATATTCGTTCGAGATATAGTGAGCTGAATGATGTCGTCGTGGGCCTGGAATCAGAAGTGAATCGTTTCATGTGTGCTGAATTAATCAAACCGTCCGAAAGCTTGTGATGAGATTCTGGAGTCGGTTCCAGACTCGATTACGATGACGGTGGATGATACTGTGCCAATCGTATCAGGTAAATGGTGATACGACTGCGTAAAGGGTGATACGGTCAAAATTTGGTCAAGGGAAAACGCGTGTAAATCGGTGAAATCGTTTATTTAAAAAATCAAATTAAATTTCTTTTTCAAGTTCAATTAGTATAAAATTCAGGAAAAATATTCAGTTAGGCTTCCGCTTTTCCAAATCCGAATTGCCGGGCCTTACGCTTGACCCCTGCCATCAGATTTTGTACAGCCACCTTGTCCACCTTCTTCGCCGCAGAAAGCCAGTTTGCCTTGAACTGCTGCTCGCCCTTAGCAGTTTTTTTGGTCTTCTTTAGGTTCCGCTTGACAATAGCCCTGTATTTCTCAATTGGGCGGAGCTCTGGCGTGTTGGGAGGGTTCTTGTCCAGCGAATGCTTGCATTTTGTAAATATCAACAACAGGAAATTTCTTATTGAAATTTATTTAATGCATAAAGTACAATGTGCAGTTGCAATAATAATAAAATATTAAATATAACCTGTAAGTCTGAAACTGCATTGCTGCATTGAATTCTATCACTGCCCCAGTAAACATCATTGGAATATTTTGAGAATCAGTGGAAGTCTAGGCAAACCAGATGTCTTCTAGTAAATGTTCATAGATGTCCAACTTATTTTTAATCTGAAAAAGGTATGAAACTATGAAACGATTAGAATCGATAGGCGATGGGCTAGATCACTAGACTACATTTTGGAGGACGAACAGTTACGTAATTTGAGGATGATGTTCCGGTATGAAACGCGGTTAGATGATATTGTTGTTTGACAACTCGGGAAAGAGAACAACATAAAAGGATAAAAACATGGTTACTGAGTCTGCTTGTATTGAGTTTTGAGCAATTCGAGTTACTCGGAGTAACTCAAAATTAACTCCGTTCTAGCTCATCATCAAAAGCTGTCTTGCCCCTAGATTTTAATCGTTTAAGAGATTGATAATCTTATGTCATGATCACGTTGCTGTTTTGTAGGCAACACTGTTTTCTGCAGTATGACATAGTAGCCATGATTTGTGTGTTCTAACGTTTGCATTTAAAAAAATGCACAAAAATTTCCGATTTTTCATGGGTTTACCTTCACCCGCACTGACGAAACTACCCATGCAGCATCAATCATAGTAACCCATGAGTCAGCAGACAAAATTTGACAGCTCTATCAGTCGAACTCTTATCGTGATGGCAAAAACAGTGAAGCAACTCCGTTCAGAAGTCTGCGCGTTCAAAGAACGGCACCCCGCCGCGTCGAAAACGGACATCGTGCGGCACTTTGTGGACGCCGGATACGTCCGTTCCGGCGTCTACAACATCGTGGCAACTATTAGACAACAATCAGAACATCGAAAGAAAGCCCGGTTCCGGACGGCCCTGAGCGACAAGAAGCTCCAAAGGATGTTGAAGAGGAAGACCGAGGGAAAAGTGGCTACATCGCTTCGTGCGCTTGGCCGTCCACTGGTTTCGGAGCTGCAGGCAATGACGCAGCGGCAGCGGCTGAATAAGATGGTCAACTCGTTTTTCCCGGCGAATCGCGACGTGGCGGTGGTGATGGACGACAATACCTATCTCACCCTGGATGGCAACGACTGGCAGGGCAATTCGTATTTTACTTCCCCCAAGAAGGAAGTGAGCTCCGAGGTGCTACTGTTGCTACAAATCAGCGAAAAGGGGATGTCAAAGCCGCTCTTCTTTCGCTCCGGACTGGCCATGAACGGGAAAATTTATAGTACGAAATGCCCGCCGGAAGTTGCGTCGTTCATCAAGAAATACCATAAGGGCGAAGACGCGGTATTCTGGCCGAATCTGGCGTCAGCCCACTACTCGAAGCGATCATTGGAGGAGATGGAGCGGCTGAATATCGATGTGGTACCCAAGTCGGCGAACCCGCCCAACGTCCCCCAGCTGCGTCCCATGGAGAATTTCTGGGCCAACCTGAAGCGTAAGATCTACGTCAACAATTTTGTCGCAAAAACTGAGGAGCAATTGATAAATAAAACGAAGAAAGAACTCAAAAACATGCCTACACGCATGTTTTCGTCCGCCATGGCGAATGTTCCGGTTAACTGCCGGAAGGCCGCTCGCCAGGGCGTAGAATTTTTTGCAAGTTATTTTAAATAATTACCTTCCATGGGAAATTTATCAAAATAAATTATCTGTCTTAGATTTTTTTTTATCACCATCCCAAAACAAAAGTCCATTTTTTAAAGCAAACGTTATACTACGCACCAAAAACACCATTGTTGCCTGCTGAACAGTTGTTTGAGGATAATCATAAGACATCAGTGGCTTGAATCATTAATAACTTTTGATGCTTACATCCTATTGATAAGTAGTTTTTAACAAAGTTGTTGCTGAGAATATTTCCTACAAACACAGTTATGTTTAAAATGTTTAAAATCAAAGCGATATGGATAACTGTTAGATGGATATTATGATGAGAGGATAATCGTTGCCAGATTTAGAACACGGGTTCGTAACCTTACCATAATCCAATGTTATGCGCCAACCGATGCGGCCGAGCTACAGGGCAAGGAGAATTTTTACAGTCAACTGAATGCCGTCGTGGATAAGGTTCCAAAGGGTGACATCAAGATCTACACTGGCGACTTCAATGCAAAGATCGGCTCCGACAACACGGACTATGAGTCATGGGACGCCATGGTCTCGGCGAAATGAGCGAGAACGGTGAGCTGTTTCCAGAATTTTGTGGCAATAACGACATGGTGATCGGGGGCTCGCTCTTCCCCCATCGCCCAGTGCACAAAGTCACGTGGGTTTCCCGTGATGGACATACCGAGAATCAGATCGACCACATCTGCATCAGCCGAAAATGGAGACGGAGCCTTCTTGATGTCCGGAATAAATGCAGTGCCGACATCGCATCTGACCATCACCTTCTAATCGGTGAAATCCGCCTACGCAAGGCGCGGATCCAGCGACGGGAGGAGAGACTCGGGCGGCGGTTCAACACACGCCGACTTGAAGATCCAGCGGTAAAAAAGGTCTTTTGTTGAAGAACTTGAGACTCGAGCTGCGGACGTTCCAGAAGGTGGCAGCGTATAATAACAATGGACGGCCATCAAGAATGCCTTTAAAGAAACAAGCGAGAACAACTTGGATGAGCTGCGCACCCAGAGGAAAGAGTGGATCACAGATGAAACCTGGCGGAAGATTGAGGATCGTAGAGAAGCAAAAGCCGTGATAGAGCGGGCGAGAACCAGAGGAGCCAAGAACGAACCCCGTCAACGGTACTCGGCTCTAGAGAAGGAAGTCAAGCGCTCTTGAAGACGGGACAAGCGAGCGTGGGTGACGAAGGGGAGAAAGCCGCAAACACTGGAGATATACGCCTCCTCTACGATATCTCACGACGCCTGAGTGGAGCAAGGATGAACCCGAGGATGCCAGTGAAGGGCACGACTGGACAATTGCTTACCGAAGCCACTGACCAGCTGACGCTGACCAGTTTGAGCACTTCGAACAACTTCTTCAAGTTTCGACGGCCAACCAGCCATCAACATCCCGACATGATCCGCCTAGGGTGCGGCGCATCACTTGCGTCAATTCCGAGGCCCCATCACTGCAGGAGATTGAAGCAGCTATCCGAAGCATGAAATCCAACAAGACTCCAGGGGTCGATCGCATATCAGCAGAGATGCTCAAAGCTGACCCCATGCTATCCGCACAAATGTTGCATCAACTATTCTGTAATATCTGGGACACCACGACTTTTCCGCCCGACTGGATGCAGGGCATCTTAGTGAAGGTCCCAAAGAAGGGGTATCTGACTGTGTGCAAAAATTGGCGAGGCATCATGTTACTGTGTATTGTTCTCAAAGTTCTGTGCAAAGTTATCCTGAATCGGATACAGGAGAAGATCGACGCGACTCTCCGACGGCAGCAGGCAGGATTCCGTGCCGGAAGATCTTGTGTGGACCATATTGTCATGCTCCTCATCATCCTGGAGCAGGTCAATTAATTCAAAGAGTTTCTTTATTTGGTATTCATTGACTACGAAAAAGCTTTCGACCGTCTCAATCACGAGAATCTGTGGGGCGCCCTGAGACGCAAGGGAGTCCCGGATAAAATCGTCAACCTCATCGAAGCGCAGTATGAGGCTTTCACGTGCAGAGTTCTGCATAACGGAGCCTTGTCCGACCCTATCCGGGTAGTCGCTGGTGTGAGACAAGGATGTATACTATCACCGCTACTGTTGGAACTCTGATGGGCCCAGTTCCGTCTCCCGTATGTCACTGTGCGATGAAGATTTGATCCACGAAGAGTACAGCAAACATTACACGCTGGTGAGGAACATAGGGAATGCACTTATTGAATATTCTGCACCGGGACATCAATGATGAAGACGTTATCATCGATCACCATTTCCATATCAAACTGATTGACTTCGGTTCGGCGACGTTCGTACAGGAAGGGCAACTTTTTTCTACCTTCTATTGCACGACCGAGTACTGCAGTCCGGAAGTGTTGGCAGGCAACCGCTACTCCTGTCCTGAACTGGAAATGTGGACTCTCTGTGTGACACTGTACGTGTTGTTGTTTTTCGAGAACCCATTCGTGGACTTGAGGAAATCCGTTGACAAGAATCCCAAAACTCGGATCACCATCCAGAAAACACTGGAGGCGGAACGGATGACGCAGGAAATCAATTCGTCACAGTTCAATTTTCCCAAAATCGTTACGAAATCAATCCGTGCTGCAAAGAGATGCAAAGATCTACTCCAGCCAGACGGGACTGTCCACGTCGCGTATCAATGTCTGGAGCTCTACAACAGGCAATGTTAGTGTTTTGCTTCAAAATCCGTGAAACATCAATTCCGTGGCAGTTTCTGCACTCATGTGTTGGATTTCAAAGATTCATATTAAATCCACTCGGTTATCGTCGTGATGTCGGCATCTTCCGTTGCTCCGGTTGCGGATCATATCAGTAAGGGTGAGTTGGAGGCCCTTGCGAAATTACTTGTTGCGGATACCGAAAATTGTTTGTGTCAACCAGTCTTGTAAGCGGTCACGGTAGTCGACACATTTTCTGTGATAATTGACTGCCTTTGCCTCCGACACTTGCAAAACAAGCTTCCATAGTACAGTACCAAACTAAAATGTCATATGACAGGCTGTATACGACACTGTCGCCGAAGACCGTCACGAATGTATGTATTTTAGTTGTTATCATAATAAGAGCTGCTGATGGTGTGCTTGTGTGAATTCTGAAAATAGCAAACAATGATGTCCTAGTAATAATATTTCTGATCAGAAATGGTTTGATTTACACCAAATTTAGGAATTACTACAAAATCACACATGTCATATGATAGCTATTTTGATAATTTTCTTTTAGCTCGAATGTTATTCTACCGCTCGTGTTGTGTGAGAGAGACGACGCGACGGTAGAGCATGAGTGTTCGAATACAAACAGACTGTCGCGCACGACAACGAAGCGAGTGTAGTAAAAAACGTCAACTGTTTCAACCCCTGGTGTCAACAATCAAATGTTGACACATCCTCACTGTGCATGCGCAAAAATAATGCAGTGATGCCAGTTACTTTAGAGATCACAAAAAATATGTACCATGGGTGCCAAATGAGTGAGCCATGGTGTGCCCTACTGTGTTTTGGCACACTGTGGTGAGTGACCAACCCCTTGGGTTTTCCACATAAAAACACGTGGAGTTCTTGTACTTTTTGCATTCAAGAATAAACTGAACTTAAATTTGGGTTGAGTTCATTGGCCGTGCAGCAAATTCAAAGGGACAACATCCAACTGGTCTTATTGGAAAACATTAGAAAGATAGAAAACATTAGAAAGATAGAAAACTCTTGGTGTCGACACAGTACAAAGGTACAAAGGCGCACGATTTCTTCTTCAAATCATATTGCCCAAACTTAACATAATGCCTTCCCCTTTAAAAAAAACGGTACAGGTACAGGTAGATATTGTTGAAATCTTTCCACTGTTAAAAATTTCATGCGGATGGAGTGTACCGTTGATTTTTGAAAAATCATTATCTGAAATCATTCTGCCCTGTATATCTCCGGAACCGGGAGTCATGTCAAGAACAATTTCAATGGCGAATAATGACGCAATGGAGCCTTTCAAACGATATATCAACCATATTGATCAGATAAGCCATATCGAACAAAAAGCTTGCCTAGATGAAACTCGTCCACAGACGCTCATACAGACATCAGCAAATTTAATCTTGCCGGGTCTATTTTTCATATTCAATTTGATTCTACGATGTCGTAATCAAACTGTCGAGCCAGATCGAGCAGAGTTCTATTGATTGGGAATGTTTTATACAGGTGAGATAGCTTGTGTGGATGGTTATCGGTCACAGACGGCAAGACGTGTAAAATACGATTTTAATACCTATGTTACGGTAGTAACAAAGGTAATACAGTCAATATTTTGAGAAATTTCATTAAGGAAAAAAAATAATAACAAAATCGAGATATAATGGGCATGAAATCGAAGTACGTAAAATCGAGGTACACCCGTAAATTGAATTGAAATAACTTTTTCCTTTTTGCACATAATTAAGTGTATGCGATCGTGACCTCGTGCGTGTGTCGACTATCACTGTGACATTGGGGATTCCTAATTTAATTTCGTTAATTAGACGCAGCTGACTTGATGCTGCTGAGCATGTTGAATAAAATGTTAATTGTTCCAAATGTAATTTTCATTTGTTTAACAGTTTCCCTACCCCGAATGGATGAATCACAGCCAAACAAAATCAATGCAATCGAAACTCACTCTTCAACCGCTTTCCGACGGGATCGCACGGCACCTCACCGAGGGCGCACTTGAGCTGCCGCATAAGGTATCGCTTGTCACTCAGTGCCTTGTCCAGTGCTTCGTCGGAAACCTGTGACTTGTTGACGGTGCCGGTGCTGGTGCCGGTGCTGCTGCTGCTGCTGCTGCTACTACTGACGGCCGGTGTCTGGGCATCTACGTGTGCGATCGCAAGTACACACACCAGTAGCGCTATCACAGTGAACGTGGCGACGGTTCCACGGTTTGACAGTGCGGTAAACTGCGAAAAAAAAAAGAAGAAGAAAAATAGAAACATGAAACTTTTAGTGCACAGTTGGGATGGGTCTTAAGTGATGGAGAAGTGCAGAAAAAGGTAACGAAATAGATGTTTTTTTTTCTCGTTCGAGAAAAGCGCATTACTGGTAACTGTAGCGGCAAAGTATGTATGTGATGAAATTTAACCCCCGTCAATTGCGTTGGGACACCATTCGGAGAGTTGATTTTGTTTTTACCGCTCGGAGCCGCACGTTGGAAGCTGGAGAACGACGAAAAAGAGCTAAGGTGAGCAGCACTTTAATCGGTACATGGATACTTGGAACGTGTTGCAGCAGCACTCTCTGTGGCCGGTATGAATGTTCGTTTATTGCTCAGTAGAAGCACAGTAGAACGTGTATGTTTGCCAGCCAGCGTTTGTGATGAAATGTAAGATATATCATTTGTTTGCGAAATTATCAATTCACAGTTCCACGAGGGGCAAGTTAAGGCAACGGAGGCAAGTCAGAATAATCACAGAAGGTGTTCCTAAGCATCGAGGGACCTTTAACAACCAATTAATCAGAGAAGCTATACGGCAAGCTTAAAAGACTCAATGTGAAAATTCACTGGATACCATCAAAAACATCAGGGACACAGTTTGAAATCCAAATAGATCATTTCAAGGATAAATTCGATGCCAGATAACTTTCGATCTTATCGTGAAACAATTTATGCCAACGGCAAGTTGGCAAGATGACGTCTAGGAAATCTACAAAGGACTTAAGATTAGATTCAGATGTATGCTTAAAGCAATGAACAGTGATACAGTAATCACCCGATTTTATCAACCCTTTCGCGCATCTAACTTTTACCAATATTTTCACCAAACCGTAATCCCGAATCATTCACATTCAACTCCAAGATGGATGTTGAAGGACAATTGAAAAAGCGTTTGCATTTCGTAGAACATTAAATTATATTTTCAAAGAGGGGCGGAAAATATCGGGTCATTATTGTATTTAGTGTCGATGACACAGTTTCACCTACGCTTAAAAAGACTGGTGATATATTTCTTAATGATGATATAGCAACCTTGAAAATACTGTTGGGGGTGGAAGCTGTTCGGCGGAATATTTTAATATATATTTTTAAAATGTTTACTTTGTTTAAAGAAAATTCCACTTTTAGAAAACAGTACATATGCTACAGTCCTGCGCAAAGTAACTTTGCCATTATTGCTTCCTTCAGAACCTCATTTCTCCAAATCTACCTAGTTGGTCCTTCTTGGCGAAAGTTCTGAAAGGCACATTTATGCAGTACTTCAAGATTGATATACAGCAAAAAGATTGCCTAACGATCGCATTGAAAACCATTTGAAAACCATCTTTCAACTAAAATAAATAAAAGAAATTTTGCATCAATATTAAACTAATTCATTCCATTACCCTTTTCGACATAACAGTCCCATTCCAGGGGGCAAAACATTTTTTGATCATGAGTAATATTTGAGTTAATTTTGAGCAACTCTGGGTAACTCGAGTTGCTCAGCATGATATGCACGGTAAAGGCCCAAACGCAATGTGGACGGAAGCGGAACGGAAACGGAAAGTTTGACAGCTGTCACAGATTACATCAAGAAGCCTAACAGATGTCAATTTGGTTCTAACTAGTTTTCAATCCGACAAGTAGGCTTACTCAGATCGGGCTTTTTCGCTGCCGCTGTCATTGCGCTTGGGCCTTAACACAGCAACCTGTTTGTGTTTATTCCCCAACTGTCAAACAAAGTCGTTCAACTGTGATAAATATTCCTAATTCTGCTGCTTCCTATTATCGATCCCATAACCTTCCTACTTCTTCGTGCCAATCCTTTGTAAGCCTTACAAAGGAAATTACTAATCCTTCTCTTTATACAGGTATTCCCAAGTCCCCGGCAAGGTGACAGATAATTTAGCGTACCCACTTGCAAATAGTAGATGTCGCCACACAACGTAAACAAAGGGACTGTCCTTCGCCACTGCAATCGTATTTCTCTATGGGAAACCAACTTTTTGTTTCACCATGTGTGGATGACAAACAACAGGCAAGAATGCTATATGAAAAAAGCGAATTTATGATTTTCGTGGTGAAATGAAATAAATCCAAACGAATTAAAACAGATTGATGGCGGTTCATTTTCTTACATAATCAAATGGCAATGAGAATACTTTTCTGTCTTCTATTTCTGGTACTATCTTCGGTTCCAAGCTAATCGATGCACCCCTCGAAACATAGGAAAATCCACGAACCCCTCATTTTATCTGTCAAACTTTCATAGCGAATCAAAACAAACATAGTGTAGTGCTAGAATTTCGACTAGAATGGGGTACGTTAATCGATTTGCTTGGGACCAATAGGCTAGTCAAGTAGTGAGCCAATTTAAAATCGTTAGCTTCCACTGGTTGGTTGTACTCTTTTAAGCTTGTACCTCAAATTATACATTTTGCAGTACTAGCTGCGTATAATTAGTACGCTCTTACTCGCTGCAAAACCATTCTTCTTTGTTCATCATCGACGATAATACCAATAGCATCGAAAGCACCGAAAGCATCCTTGATCAATTCTCATTTGTTCCAAAAAATCGGGGGACACTGGCAATACACAGGAGCTGTCATGTTGCCCCCGAGTTGGCTATTCCACTAAGACGCCCACATTGATCAGGATTCTTTGTAAGTCGTTTTCATCCGAATCTAGTGCAGCCTGTTATCAGTCGACGTTGACCATGGCATTTGCAGATTCAAAATATGAGCAATTTGCTGAAGTACATGTTTGGTTGTCAATTTAACCAGTTTGAATCTTAGAGAGGCGTTAAAGTTACGATTGCTGCTTTGTAATAGTATTCTCTGACTTTTGTCTGAATGCTTAATAATTAGGGCAAAACTTTGAGGCAGCAACTTCATAGTTCTACACTAATACTTGGGCTGGGCATTCAGAGAAGTCTATACTAGAAAAATAATCCTTGTATTGATTCGGTTGCTGGTTTTCATGTTTTTCAGAAAAATAAACTACAAGGGACAGCACTATGGCGTTGTACGCAATTGTGACGTAGGACTACGTGGCCTTATATAACATTTGTTATTTTCTAAGTGCAGCAGGAGCTTGTGTTTTGTGTAGGAATAGGTGAAGATGAAATGTGATTCACCTGAGAGATGCAGTGAAAGCCTGTGATGCGATTCAATACATAATACGGCACTGGACATCGAACGAAACACTACATGCTAACGACGCTACTAAATGGGAGGAGCTTTGGTCAGCTGCTGTATGGACGAAAGCAAAAATTCTACATAGAGCTCGAATTAGGGCGTAACAGCTTTTGAAAACAATTACTTCAATTGACCTGGCAAATCGATATCATCATTGAGTAGAGGAAGACTTCTCCTACTCGATAGATATGTTGATTTGTGTAGGCGTGCCTTGAATTCCTAGAAATTATCGAGAGAAGTCATTGTTTACAAAGGCTGTTACGCCCTAATTCCAGCTCTATCTAGAACTTAGAAACATTTATCACCGTTGAACGACTTTTTGTTTGACAGTTGGGGAATAAACAGAAACAGGTTGCTATGTTAAGGCCCAAGCGCAATGACAGCGGAAGCGGAACGGCAGCGGCAGCGGAAAAGCCCGATATGAGTAAGCCTACTTGTCGGATTGAAAACTAGTTATAACCAAATTGACATCTGTTAGGCTTCTTGATGTAATTTGTGACTTGTGTCAAACTTTCCGTTTCCGAGAAATCACCGAGAGAAGTCATTGTTTACAAAGGAAATAATCATTTTGTCAAGCTTCTGCATTCATGTTCCATCAGATGTGCTGTTGTTTGCGGTGACATCTATTGGAAACTACAGACAATCTGTTTTCCGTTAATTGTTCACCGAGGACAGTGTAGTGCAAAACATTTCTGGTACCTCTATATATGCATTTAGATTTATATTCGGATTAAAGGAGGGACTTCAAATGTTATCAAATATATCATATTAACAATATGATCCATTCATGCCTTTTCCAAATATTGCAATGGCGACCCGCAAAATATTGCTTCACGCACCATCTAGCGTTGAAAAAGGTCAGCAACAATCATTCAATTACAATCGAGGGGTGCGAACAGTGCTGTAAATTCTCAAAATCATTTGAACATTTTTGATGAAAATGAGAAAAGTAGCTATTCGCTATCAAAGGGGATCTCCTCCGAATGGGTGATATCAGTTGCTTAGTCATTTGACGAAGGCATGGATCATTCTCATTTGAGAAACGGTATATATCATTCGATTGAGTGTAACCTACACACAAACGGAGCTCTGGTCGACATTCCGGCGAAAAAGCTAAGCCAACCCGACACCAACCTGACTTCTATCAAACCCCAACCCGATGTTGACCCGACATTGACCCGACATAAACCCAAAATTGACCCGACATTAACACGACATTGGGTCGACATCGACCTTAAATTAGCCTTACATTGATCCGACATCGGGTCGACTTGTCTGTTCGGGACCATTTTCCTGGATTTCTTCCATACTCCACTGTCGTATATCAAATGATACTGAGTGACTCAATTGACAGTGACAATGAGCTTCGAATGAGAAAGGGGCTCTTCAAATTATGGTCATGTGAGAATTCGTTTACACAGAATTGATTGAATGGCTGTAGTGGTTTATCTTCAATCGAATGATATGAAAATTTACAGCACTGGGTGCGAATATAGCACTTATTACAAATGTAAGAGTCACATTATTTTCATTAATTACCTTGTGTATATTACTTTAAAATTTGTCTGACATGTCACTGTTGTCATCAAATAAAATAATATGCTGAATTACATCCATTTGAAATATTAAACAAATTTTCATTGACGATAAACAAATACATTGGTAGCCTTTTTGGCCACAGAGGTGCTTTCATCGCTAAAAATTTGGTTCGCCAGCTAAGCGAATGAGTGGATCATATTGTTAATATAATATATTTGATGTTATACTAAATGCATATATAGAGGTA